ATCTTAGAGTGGTGTTCCCTGTCCAACTGGGTATTAGTGGGCTCAAACCCAGCTCCCGGGTAAGCGTGGTACCTGCGCACGAGCCCGTCAAAATTTTTTGCGTGTAAATTGATAACTCAAGTACCTGGGAAGCTAAAAGAATGCAATTTTAAGAGGATATACCCCGTCCAACTAAGTTTCATTCACCTCGAACCCAGCTCTCAGGTATGCTTGGTAAACATGCACGGGTCCATGAAAATTTTGTTCCAGTAAATTGCTAACTCAGGTGCCAGGAAGCTAGAACGCTGAAATTTTAAGGGGATGTTTTCTGACAGTTCTGGAGGCCAGTCTTAATTTGTTTAGCTAGAAGCATTTGCCGAAAAAACCGGTGCCGGTAGCAACAAAAACTACGGCGAACCATGCAAAAAACGCATCTTCGCACGGGCAGCCCGTGCGTTGGCCAATTACTGCCGTTTTTTGCAGCTATGCAATGCAAAAACGCATACTGACGAGGGGTTGTCTGTGTGTTCGTGTGTCTGTGTGTGCGTTTGCCACGCACATTCATCTCAAGACCTATGAAAGCTGTAGGGCTGAAATTTCGGGAACTTAAATCTACATGCACGTGCCGGTCCCAATCCCCAAAAAGGGCGCCATCGCCCGCGTGGTACCCGCACACGGGCCCGCCAAAGTTTTCTTGGGATAAGTTCTCGGGGATCTGAGAAGCTAGAACGCTGAAATCTTAGGGGGATGTTCCCGTCCAACTAGGTATTATTGCACTCAAAGCCATCCCCCGGGTAAGCGTGGTACTCGCGTACGAGCCCGCCAAAGTTTTTTTCGGTTCAAACCCTGCTCGCGTTGTACCTATATTCGGGTCCTTGCAGGTTTTTTCCGGGTATGTTGCTAACTCGGGAAAGTGAGAAGCTAGAAGACTGGGATTCTGAAGGGATGTTTTCTGATAGTCCTGGCGGCTAGTCTGAAATTCTTTTAGCTAGAAGCATCTACCAGAAAAACTAATGCCGTTCGCGACAAAAATCTGCGGGGAGCTATGCAAAAAACTCATCTTCGGACAGGCAGCCCCTACGTTGGCCAATTATTATAATTGCCGATACCTGGGCACGGGCAGCCCATGCCCTTGGGCTGCCCAGGTAATTGGCCAAAGCACGGGCTGCCCGTGCGAAGATGCGTTTTTTGCATGGTTCCCCGCAGTTTTTGTTGCTACCGGCAACGAGCTGCCCGTGCGAAGATGCGTTTTTTGCATGGTTCCCCGCAGTTTTTGTTGCTACCGGCACCGGTTAGTGCGAAGATGCGTTTTTTGCATGGTTCCCCGCAGTTTTTGTTGCTACCGGCACCGGTTTTTTCGGCAAATGCTTTTAGCTAACAAATTAAGGGCTGACCGCTGTCAGAAAACATTCCCTTTAAAATTCACCTTTCTAGCTTCCCTGGCACCTGAGTTAACAACTTACTGGAACAAAATTT